GCACGAACAGAGCGCCGCGCCGTCGCGTGGTCCCCCCCCCAACTAAGTTAGCACCGAAGTTTGAGAATTCTTCGAAGTATAGGTTAAGAGCGTTCAAAAGCGTTTTCAGCTCCTAGAATGTTTCAGATTCAGAACAATCACTCTTGTCAAATATGTTCTCTTTACAGCAGTGTGTTGCCGCTTCAATTCCGGTGCAGGATTCTGATGGTTCCAAGTTGAATCATGCTATGGAAATTGCCGAGCAGTTCAGGAAGGATATGATTGTCAGTGTTTAATTCTTCCTCTCAGCAAAGCCTACCCCAGTCACAATCATGTTTACCTTTCATTTTTTATTTGCAGGAGTTGGGTTTCTTCAACGATGCGACGCCTACGTTCCAAGCATTTTCCGAGCAGCACTTCACAGTGTTTATTGATCGAAGATGTTTGGAGGTCATCAAAAGGGCGAAAGAATTGATTTGCATGCCGTATTTGGAGTTAGCTGAGGTGCGAATAATAACATGGTTTTTGAACCGGTTCATATTTTTCTGTAAGCTTTAGGTAGGCAGTGGTGAAGAAGTCAGCGAAGAGACCATTCTCCAATACAAGGAGGCGTTTGGTAAAATGATGCCGAAATCGGTTACCACAAGTGACAGTTTGTATCCGCTGCTACTACAGCTCCCGCGTTGTAAAGTCAGGTGAGGTAATTTTTGTTTCATCGAATCCCTTAAAATTTATGCTGCTATAAAAGTAGTTCACGCCGCAGTAGGAACGAAGTGGCTTCGAGGGTCGCACCCCATTTACGTGTGTTTGGATTTGGTGAAGGAATTGCATGTGAGGATAATGAAGTGTAAAGGGTGAGGCGATTGATCTGAGCCATCGAGACGCGTCAGTCATTAGATTTGCACCGAAATTTGTCAGGATATTCGAGGGCCTATATGGTAGCGCAGTAAATGCGGAGCCAGTCGATGCTAAAATCAATGTTTCATTCTCTAATACAGATGTGGGGTCTCATCCAGTAAAGGGGGGGGGGCATTGTGATGCAACGTCAAGTGGCTGCCCTCCCCCCACCCCCTAGACTGCCTTCACTCCCCCTGGCTCACGGGGTCCCGTACTTCGAGA